TATATATAGATGAAAAAGGAAAGAACAGATGCTGATGGTCTCTTTGGATGAGCTAATGGAACAGCCTCTCGAAGCTGATGAAAAAGTTTTAGTACTGCCTCAATGAGCTACACATAGCGCTCCCACAGGTTGGTCATGACCCTTGTGCATCACAGATGACCATTAACATACAGTTAAAGCACACGGCTTGCATAATCATTCATTTAGTGTGAAGTGTTAAGCACATTGACGATTTGTGCGAGTATCACGATAACGTCCTATAAAGAGTAAGACCCGTCATCAAAGACGGCGCGCATTTGTAATCATGATCTTTTTAGGTTGCCTGTAATTTCCTTAAAGAGCAGCTTTTGAGTGCTGTTGTGATATTGTGAATTTATGCGTCTGCTTGATTCTGGCAGGTTCCTATCGCTTAAATTTGTATTAAAGACTATGACGGCCGTATTAATATCGCGCAGGAAAACGTATTTGTAACAAAATAACTAATAAGTTTCACGACAGTACTCGGTGAAATTGTGGAATGGAACCATCCATCCGATCTATTAACTTTAGTTAATTTTCCAGTGATAGCAGATGCCCTCAAGGTTTACAAACGTTTTTTCTTTCAGCTGTTTCGACCTCGATACGAAGTCGATTTGCACTAGACGAAGAGCAAGTGCCCCAAATGGGCATTCAATAAATATGACTATTTCCAATGGTAAAGTGAGTATTCTAGTGAGCCTCATGATCGAACCATTATGAGAAGACACGGATTAGAAAAAAACTACAAAACATTTTATATCAAAAACAATTTACGTACCCGCAGACTCAAAATATAAACCATACAAAACATATTACGGTAAAATACTAAACTGAAAATAATGTGATTATCTGCTGAGAGGCAGTTTCGTTTGTGTATCGTCGACTGTGAGCAAGCAAACATTTCGTTCGTAGACGACGGCTCTTCCAAACATTTTTCTATGTGTATTTACAACAGTCACCTGATGAAGATATACTATGAACTGTAATTTACCTAGTTGGATATATTCTCCACTATGGTCGAGATGCTTAGGATGTTCGTGTAAGATATACGAATTGTTCCGGTTCCCTAAGCGCGAACTGACAGATCCAGTACTGCAGAACCTCGTTTGAGAGACAACATGTGGCTAAATAACAAACAAGAGCTAATTTCGAGTGAGTCTTGTGCCATTGCTGTCCACTGAGTTCACACGATTTATAAAAGAAAAATAAGTACGTCCCTGTACGCATAAGCCTGATGTGTGGTGGCGTGTGACATAGACTTGTGTATCTGTAGGTATTGCTCACTGACGCGAATAATCACTGAACAGAGATGAGACAGACAACTATTTCTTCAAGTTTCCAAACAAAAAATATGGCAGACACACATATAAAATTAA